ACAGGTGTGTGCCACCACGCCCAGTCTCTGTCGCTGTCTCAGGGTGCCTGGGGGCGGGGTTGGCACGGCATGCTGGGACTAGAACCCAGGCTGCTGTGCTCTGCTCACGCAGGCGCTTTATTCCGCTGAGCTGTCAGGCCAGCCCTCAAAACATTATTTATTTTTGAGATAGGGTCTTGCTGTATTACTGAGTTGCTAGGCTGACTCAAACTTGCAGCCTCCTGCCTCAGCCTCCCAGGAGACTGGAATTATGGGTGTGTGTTACTCTTCCAGGCTAGAAAATTTGCTTTGTTTTTGAGTTACAGGAGCAGGGTGATGGGTATCGCTCAGGCCCTGGGCCGGGCACATTGTCTCTGCCCTTCTGACACTCCTGCGCCCTGCCTCTGAGTGTACACTTGCATTTACCCACATTCACTGTGCCGCTGTGTGCCCTGCATGCCACTAGGGGCAAGCAGTGTCAGGGTCATTCAGCCCAGAGTCCAGAGGTTTCAGTCCATAGTCAGCTGGCAGGGCAGGGAGAGGCAGTTTCCGAAAGTCTCCTGCCTGTGGAAGGTGACCGGGCCCTGGCGCTCCACACTTCAGTGGATCAGTCCACCGGATGAGCTCACAGCTCGGTGTGCTGGCGGGGTGGGGTCTGTTTGGAGGTGGTCACTGGGCCGGCCGCTGGGGGGTGTTCTGGTCCCCGCCCCCGCCCCTTTGCTCTGCTTCCTGGCTCGCTGATGCGCGTGGCTGCCTCCTCCTCCAGGCCCTCCCACCATGCATTTCTGCCTGGGAATCAGCTGACCGTGGACTGAACCACTGGGGACCAATGGCCAAATAACCTCTGAGCTTTGAATCGTGGGTGTCGGGCACTGTGCCCTGCAGTGGTAAAGCGACTGTTACAGCACCTCTTCCTTTCCCCGCCTGCCCCGCCAGATGACTTGGAGCATTCTCCTCCTCGCCCCCCAGAACCGCACGTGCCTTCTGTGCAGCATTCGCTAGCCTGCTAGCCTCCCATGAAACCTTGTCATGCCACAGGCCCCAGCACATGGCATCATGGCCAGCACGTGTTAGGGCCTCGGAACTACTTTCAGGTGAGTGAACGTTGTGTAAAACCATAAACCACTTCTGCAAGAGGAGCTCCCACCCCGAATGTGCGGTGGATATGAAACTTGCCTGCCCTTCCTCACCTAATGACTCCATAGCGGGGCAAATGAGGAGCCAGGACTGGCACTTGTGCCTGAGGAGAGCCCTTCCTGGTAGCAGCGTCTAGGTCAGCTTCAGGAAAGGTAGACGATGTCTTAGAGGACAGAAGGCCGTTCCCTTCCCTGGGGGCCACATCTTCCCTGGAGGTGGTGCGGGCCAGCACCAGCCTGACCAGTCCCCTCTGCAGACATGGTCCACAGGGAGCCTTATCCAGGGGCCGGAGTACGTGGCCAGGGTTCTGGACAGATGAAGGCCTGAAAATTCAGGCCAGACAGGACACGTCACCTATCAGCCACTGCTGCCCAAGCCTGCTCCCAGCCGGTGCCCGCAGTGTGCCACTTGCCGCTTTCTGTCTGTGGTTCGCTGATGTATGTGGCTCACTCAGCCCTCATCCCCATGGGTCTGGCAGTTCTTGGTGGCCTTCCAGATATGGCTGACAGTATGAGTGGTGACTGCCAGGGTGGCTGGTGGTACCGTTGGGACATAACTAGCAATGTTCAGTGCTCATGTGCTCCGAGATGGAGTTTGGGGAGGTGAGGACCATGGGCTGTGGTACTGGCTTAGTCCCCTGCTGGGTGGATGGCTGGGAGTGTTGGGAGATGCAGCCAGGTGGGCGGAGTGCTCGCTGTGGGCGTGGCCTGGAAGGGCACACGCAGCAGACCGCGCCCTCCTGCTCTCTGCCTGCTGCCTGCCCTGCCGTGGGCTGTCGCTATGGCATGCCCTCTTGCAAGGCCACCCTGCCCTGCAGCAGCCGACTGTGAACTGAAACCTTTACAGACTGTGAGTCAAGATAAACCTTTCCTCCTGTAGCTTGTGGGTGTTGCGTATTTTGTCCCAGTAATGAGAAAAGTAACTAACACACCTCATCCTGGAAAATGAGGCTCGTGTGCCAGTGGCGGCGGCAGGGTTCTCGGCGAGCAGCAGAGCTGCCTGAGGCCAGTGAAGAGACCAGGGTTGGGAGACGGAGGATTCGTCTGGGTGGGCCTGAGATCCGAAGTTAAGGCAGGAGATTTTGGCATGGCATCTGGCTGGGCAAGCGGGCACGCCTGTCAGTCACAGAAATCCAAGACGCATGCTCGAGAGAGTTCCTGGGGCCACCCAGAGCATGCAGTCTTCAGTGCTTCTGCGCGAGATCAAGCAGGCTTGCGACAGGATGACCTGGACCTGGGTCCAGGCCATGGGTGCCGGGAGTGGGGGCCACAAAGGTGGCAGCCACTGAGCTCCCGGCCACTGTAGGCTTTCAGTGCCCGCTCTCATCTGCAAAGCACACTTCTCCTACCTTTAGTAAATAGAAACCCTCGGTACCTTTTGTCCTTATTTTGTCCAATTCTTCGTTCAGGACAACAACCTGGAGAGATTCTCTAGAAGGAGCCCACACTACCCCAGGATGAGGCAGACCCCTCGCAGGGCAGAGCCCCCTTCTCATGCATTGCCAGAGCGGCTGAGGGGCTGTCTCCATCCTGACTGGCCTTTCCAGGGTTGGGCCTTCCAGCAACAGGCTGTTTCTTTTTCTTTTTTTGAACTAGGATCTTGCTAATAGACCAGGTTGGCCTTGAACTCTTAGCATTTTTCCTGCCTTGGGTGGACCTTGCTTTACCCACTTCTGTGACAGTGACTTGGTGACCTTTGTCCTGTGCTCTACCTGCATCTGAGATCTCTGCGAGGTCCTCAAGGCCAGGGGCACAGGCCTCACCAGGAAGGAGCCTGAGCTTGGTTTGCCAAGTCTGAGAGCCAGGCGAGAGGTGGGCTTCAGTCCCAGTTTATCTGTATACCTCCTGGGAGCCCGACCTTGAACCAGCAGAGCCTTTACCCTGCGTGATTAGCTTGGAGCCCCGGAGAAGCCCCTTTTCTGCCGGTGCTGGTGGCTCGGAGCTTGGGCACGTTGTCTCACTTTATCCTCACAGCAAGCATCTTGCAGAAGAAGAAACTGAGGCTCGGGAAGGCCCTGTGAGCTTTGCCAGGCCACACAGAGGGCTATGGCAAACCCAGGGCACAAGCCCAGAGCCAAACAAGCCTGGCAAGTCCCTGCTCCAGGGCTCAGCAAATTGTTTTGGCAGAGGGCTGGCAGATCACATCTTGGCATTACTGACCTTTCTGTCTCTGTCTCAGCTCCTCATGTCTGCCACTGAGGCCAAAATTAGTCGTTAGACCTCAGGAAGTTGACGGGGTGTGGATGCATTCCAGCAAAACTGATGTCCAAACAATTACCGGGCTGGGCCTGGCCTGAGGCTGCAGTTGGCCCACAAGCCCTGCCCAGGCCGTTCTGCCGCCTCTCTGCTTGGCCTCAGACTGCGCTGGCCAGGGAGGCTGGCTCTGTGCCCCCCAGTAGCCCCCCGATACCGGCCCTCTGTGCCTCAGGGGGAATGTGGAAGTCTCATGGGAACAGAATCTGCACACCTGGGGAGACAGAGGAGGCCTGTAAGGAGCGCACCGGGGACGCTGGCCTTGCAGACTCAGTCACAGATTAAAGGGAAGCGATATCACCAGGAGATAGCTCGGTGGTACAGTGCCTCCTGGAAAGCACAAGGTCCTGAGTTCAATTCCTCGTACAAAAAAGGGGGGGGGCGGGGAGATGGCTCAGTAGAATAAGCACTTCCCTGGCAAGTGCAAGAGCCTGAGCTCAGTCCCTGGTCTCCCCCCCAAAAAAAGACCTCACCATCAACACCTATATGAAAACTGCAGGCAGAAGGCTGACAGCAGGTGACCACATCGAAGACAAGTGGGAGTTGGTCCCCAGAGCTCAAGGTAACAATCCAAGCTAAGCTGAGGGCTTTGGATTTGGCGAAAGGAACAAGTGGTGAGTCAGTTTATAAAATCTTGAAATCCAGGAGGACGTGGGCGATGTGGCTTTCTTTGCCCATTTAAAGTTCTTGCTTCCCTTTAAAGAGCTAGAAACTAGAAAGGGAATATGGCCCAGTGCGACCCACACCAGCCGTCCGGATGGGACCCTCGTGGGTAGCGTGTGTCTGGGCAAGGACCTCTACTGGAGGTGGCCGGGCAGGGTGCGTGCTTGGGCCTGCACTCGGTGGTTACGGCCTGTGCTGGCCTTTTTTCTTCTATGATCCTCCACTTTATTATTTTATTTATTATTTATTTATTTCGCGATGGAATCTGTAGTCCCTGCTGGCCTTGAACTTGCTCTGCAGCCCAGAAATGCCCCTGCCTCAGCCTCCTGAGTGCTGGGATTACAGGATACACCACTACACCCACTTTACCATTTTATATTAACCAACGAGGGAGGAGTGCTGTGGCTGGTGGCATCCTGGCCCCCAGGGGTCCATGCCCCCAGGGGTCCATGCTGGGGCCACGGCCTCCCTCTTCCTCCAGGGGGACTTGCAGATCTGATTGACAATCTGAGTGTGGTGGACCAGTGTAGCCTGGAGCCCAGGGGGTGGCAGAGAAGGAGTGCTGGGGGAAGAGGCTCCCTGGGTGGCTTTGGAGCTAGAGAGTGGAATTAGGGCTCATGGCCAGTGGCCAGCAAGGAGTGTGAGGAAGCTCTTGCTGCCAGCCCCCGGGGACAGGGAAACATTGTGCCCAACAGCGCCCAGGCCCAGAGAGGGTGTGGCCTACTGACCTCAAGACTTTGGCCCCTGAGACCCACGGACTTCTGGGTCTACAGCTGGGAATAGTGACCACCCCCAAGATATACTGGCCTCCACACGTGCGGCAGCTCATGACAGCAGCAGCAGAAAATTAACAAAGGTGCAGTGGTGCCAGACCCTTCCTTTCCAGAACATTCTAGCACCCAGGAGCTGATGTCATAGAGAAGGATCTAGAAGCATTGGTCATGGGGGCAGACTGAGGGCTCTGAAGCTTTTGGGAGAAGGTGACGACAGAGTTATTAAGGCAGCGGCAGTAGAAACTTCAAGAGCTGAGAGCAGGCCAAGCCCTGTCCCTGAGTAGATACTGAGGTGTGTAGAGGCCTCTTCTCCTGCCCAGGAAGGTACCCAGGGCTGCGGGGAGCTGGGGCTGGTAAGTGGAGATGGCGGGCAGGCCAGGGGACCATTGAGGGACAGCGCCTTCACTCACAGCTCCTCAGATTGATTCAGCAACACCTATGAAACAACTCAGGTGGAGGTGATGGGGGCCCATGGTGAGTGCGGATGGTCCAGTGGGCAGAGGAGAAAGGGTTGGGGGAGGGGAGACAATAGGAGATCACTCACTGGGCCAGGATGGGGCGGAGGAGATGGGGCGGTGGGTAGGGACGAGCTCCCTGCTGACCGGACAGCAGGGCACGGGGAGGAGGGCACGCAGGCCTCTCCCATGCTGAGCTGGGGCCTGGGCTCCGGGACCACACTGTGAGCCCTCAGATTTGCAGGGACTTTGGCACAGTGTGGGACCTCACGCTAGCTAAGCACATGGTGTAGGCAGGGCTCAGAAAGCAGACGTTTGAAGGGAATCTAGGGCCTTGTGGACCTTGTGTAAGGTCACTGCCGGGACCTCTGAGGGTGCCTGGACCCCGGCTGCCTGAGAACCACACCCCAGCTCCTCGGTCAGTGTGCAAACCTTTAAGAGCTTTCAATCTAAACGAGCAGGCCGCTGCGGTGCACACGCTCAGGTTCCCACCGCGGTACCTCGCGCTGGGTCCTCAGGCTCCTGTGCACGGCTGCATCTGCACCCACTGCGAGGCTACAGGCTCCAACAGCTCCTCGCTCATGCAGCCTTCTGACTCCTGGCACACACACTTACTCCCACTTTCACGCTAGTGGTGGGTTAGCCTGGCCCCTGCTCTCAGCAGGGCGCCCTCCTTCCCTCGCGACCTGCTGTTGTCAGGGTGAGGAGGGGGAGCTCCTGGAATCCCATGGCCACATCTAGCCTAAAGACCAGCCCAGCATAGGGCAATCCCAGGAGCAAAGGGTGTTTTGCCCATGTGCCCGGCCTGCAGGTGACCCACGGTGGGTGCTACACATTCGAGACTGGTGACATAGGAGGTGACCACCTCCCCGCGCCATGGGCTGGGGCTGTGCTGGAGGCAGATGTGTCCTGGCTTCCCGTTGTGTCTTCTAGTTTGTGGGCTGGGATAGGGCACAAAATGAGACAGATGGGCATGGTGGCACACACCCACAACCCTCACTGTGAGTTCAAGTTCAGCCTGGGCTACAAAGTGAGATCTTGTCTCAAAAACCAAATCCCCAGGCTGGGAAGGTAGCTCTGTGGTTTAAGCACCTGCCTGACAAGCTCAAGGACCTGAGTTCAGTCCTCGGTACTGCACGTTGTGCTGGCCCCGGAATCCCAGGCATGCTGTGCCAACCACCAAAACTGGGTGACACTGGGAGCGGTGGTGCACGTCTGCAATCCCTGTGCTGGGAGGCTGAGACAGGAGGATCACTATGAGACTGAGCTGCATAGTGAGGCCCTGTACCAAATAAATAGGATGTAGCTCAGCGGCACCGTGACTGCCTGGCAGGCACAAGGTCCTCAGCTCAATTCCTGTTACCAAAAACCAAAACAAAAGAAAACAGCCCCCCAAGAGCCAACTCCTCCAAGAAACAACACAATCGCCTGTCAGGGTCAATAAGGGGCACTGCTTTGCCATAAGGGTGACCTTGTGTCACTTGTGGGACCTGGATGCAACTAGAGATCGGCGTGTAGGTGAAATGACTGAGACCCACAGGGAACCGCGCGCCGCGCTTCTCACACGAGAAATCCAGAGTGCAAGATCAGAGTGGAGCAGGGAGGACAGGAGGCCGGGGGCTTCTTCAAGCCCTACCATGACTTTTTAAAAAGATTTTTCTTTTTTTTTCTAAGGAGAAGACAAAATAATAAAAAATTAGAAACAATAGAGAATTTCAAAAAACAGGATGATAGGAGTTCATCGATGGTTGTTGTAGTGCGTGTTGTTGCCTTCAAAGTAGCTGTTCCGAGCACTAGACACAAGCATGTAAAACTTGTCAAAACAGTAAGCATTAACTGTTCCTTTCAGTAAACCAACAGACACATAGTCATATAGTTGTCTTAGCTATCGTATATGTATATATCTATTCTCTCATCCCACTTGCTCCTTCCTTTGCATAGTCTCCCTCCCTTCATAATGTCTGTTGGACCTTCCAGGTTTTATTTGCTCTTTCAGGTTTTCATACCAGGGAGACAAAATGATGTCTACAATACGCTGTCTGACTTGCTTCACTCACCAGTCTGGTCTCTCGTTGCACCCATTTATCTGTAAAAGCCCCCAGCTTGTCTCCCTTTACGGCCGAGCAATACTCCATTGTACAGACACGCCGCATCTCTCTTGCCCCGTCCTCAGCTGATGGGCACGTGGGTTGTTTCCAGCGTTCAGCTGCGACAGACCGCGCTGCTGTAAGCATGAGCACACGCATCTCTAGTGTGATGCTCCACTTTTTCTGGGGAGGTGCCCAGAAGGGGATGCCTGGGTCGGGTGGGCCCTCTAGCCTGAGCTTTTTGAGGCATCTCCACGCTGACTTCTGTGGCTGCGCCGGTCTGCACTCCCATCAACAGGAGAGTAACATACATTTTTTAAGAATTACACCCAAAATGCAATGCAGGTCGAGGTGCCAAGGTGTGTGGTGACACAGGCAGAGTCAGGAGGGATGGGGCAGTGGGGCCGCCTGTTTCTGGAGCTCACTGAGTGATGCCCTCTCCACAGGGTTCCTCGTCCCCCAGGGCCAGTGTCGGGCAGCTGGACAGCAGCTGGGCAGAGGCCTGGGGGAGATATGCGGGCGCCCGCGCTGCTGTCCCTCCTGGGCTGCCTCGTGGTTCCTGGTGGTGCCCGCATCATGGGCCGCTGCGAGGTGGCTCGGAAGCTGCACCAAGGGGGACTGGACTACTTCGAGGGCTACAGCCTTGCCAACTGTGAGTGCCGGCCCTTGGCCTTCCCAGGCGCCCGCTCCGGCTCTCCTGCTGGCCCTTGGCCTCCCTGGGCACCCACTCTGGCTCTCCTGCCAGCCTCACACCTCCCTGTCCTAGGGGTGTGCCTGGCTTACTTGGAGAGCAAGTTCAACCCCTCAGCCGTGTATGAGAACGAGCAGGATGACTCCCTGGGCTACGGCCTCTTCCAGATACGTGACAGCAAGTGGTGTGAGCCGGGCAGGAACCTCTGCCACGTGGCCTGCTCAGGTGGGGATGATTTACTCTACGCTGGGGTGCTGGAGAGTGGCCTCTGGGGGGCCAGAGTGCACGGTTTGGGGAGCAGAGGAGGTCATATCCAAGGTAGGTCCCTGGAGGCTGAGCAGGTCTGAGGTGACAGCCCCATCTAGGGAGTCAGAGTGGGGGGCAGGGCATTGAGAGGGGCTGCAGCCCTTGTGTCCCTCACAGCCTAAGAGTGGGAGGCACGAGAGGGCTCCCTAGATCTGTTGTCACCCATCTGCCGCTGCCCTGTTCCTCGAGGGGACAGACCCTGCCACTTTGAAAGGCAAGGCCGTCACTGGAGCACACAGAGCCACTGTCCCAAGGGAAGCTGGCCGGTCACTTTCGGGGTAGCTGGCAGCTGTGGCAGGAGGAGGTGCTGCCCACAATTCCCTCCCATAAGCATTTATGGAGCACCTCGTTACTGCAGGCCCATAGCACGGCCGCTCTGGCACGTGCGGTCTGCCAGGTACCCCTGAGCCCTTTGGGGTTACCTGAAATTCAAATTCACAGTGGCCTGGGGGCTGTGAGCTAGGCACTGTGGCCACACCCTTTCCCTACGCGGAGAGACAGAGGCCTGGGGAAGCGAAGCACAGGCCATGCCACAGCCCATGCTGGCAAGCAGGGAGCTGGCAGGCACCTCCGCAGTGCGGGCCCTCCGCAAGGCCATCTGGGGAGGCGGCTCCGGAGCACCCGAGCTGCCCCCACGGCAGGGCCTCGGCCCAGTGGGACCAGTGGCCCCAGAAAAGCCTCCATTACCCCTGGCTGGGGCCCTGCTGGTACTTTGGCTCCCAGACAGGTGTTCAAGTGGCAATGAGGCTAGGAGCAAAGCTGGCAGCCTCTGGAGCGGCTTGGGGTAAGCCTGGTGTATGTTGTACCTGTGGCTGGTCTTGGGACTCAGCATACCAGGAGAGACAGGTCTGTGGGGAGGGAAGATGTGGGGCCCCCACTGCTCCCGAGTGGGACATCAGTTCTTCAACCCCTTGTCTCTGCGGTGGGGCCAAGGTGAGCCCTGCCCTGGGCCACTGCAATGCAAGGAGTGAGCAGTGTCATGCGGTGCCCACTATGAATGACAGCCACTGGGAGACAGCCACGTCAGTGGAGAGCTCAGTTCCCATGCAGGGTCATTCTGTGTCGCCCTGAGCTGCCCAGCAGTTGAAGCAAAGAGAGAAACACAGCTGACCCAGATTTGTATCTTACGAGATGTGTGGGAGTGAAGGCACACTGGTCGCAGGGCCCCTGCTGAGCCCTGCGCTGCTCCTGTGCTGGGACAGCCCCTCCTGGGGGTGACTCTTGACCCCAGGGATGCGAGTCGGGCTTGCGTGTGAATCTCTACCGCCGGAGCTTTGAATGTGGGCGAATGGCCCCAACACACACACATGTAACAGAAAGCTATTAGGAGAAAGGCAGGAAAAAACCCAATGGATTTGGTAAAAAATAACCTTGTCTGTCTGAGCGAAATCTAGAGATGAACTTAGTCCTGCAATTGCTCGAGGTGGTCTTGCGCGTGCCCCAGCGCTTCCTGGAGCCTCTCTTAGCGTCACGGATGCTGTGGAATCATCCACTTTGTTGTCTCCACAGCTTTGCTGAATCCAGATTTAAAGGAGACAATCAAATGTGTCAAGAAAATTGTGCAAGGAAAAAACGGGCTGGGAGCGTGGTAAGTGGCACCTCTTTCCTTATAGCGGGTATTAATGACAACCATGTGATGATGGCGTCCTTCGCCTGACCTTGACCAGCCCCTGCAGCCATGGATCCCAGGGTCCCTCCTCACCAGTGAAGTCACAAGACAGTTGTGGGCTTTGCAGCCCGCTGCCACAAAGGGAGGAAGGATTTCCCCCAGGGACAGCCTGGAGGGGCACTTTTCCTCTGCAGAGTTTTATAGGGTGCAGGCTAAGCATCTCTACAGTCTCTGTGCACCTCTCTAACTGCTCTTCCACGTAAATTCACTCAAGGCTTTTGCATACTTTTGAGGTTCTTGGTGCATATTGTGGAGTGACTCTCCTGCGAGGTTGTAACAATTTCTGCGCCTCTACAGTCTATTAAAATGTCTACCTACACTACCCTTGCCAGCCAGAAGACTTCCATTTGCGAGGTGAATAATAATTCTATTGCATTGCATCTTTTTTGCTTCTTTACGATAGCTCTGTAGAGTGTTTTCTGTTATATATTGATATTAATTTGTGCTTTTCCCCCGTCCTTTGCTGACTTTTAAAATCGAAGTCCTTATACTTGTTGAAAAAGGCTCCTTACACCATTAGTACACTAACCTTAGTTGTTGCAGAATTGTTGACAAAAACAGCTGCTGCTGTGCAGAGGAAAGCTTCTAAAATATGCAAGCCTTTGGCTCGTGCCTGGCGTCTTTCACTCAATGTACTCGTTCCTGTTGCTGTGTTTGTGTGTAATTCATCATCCTCGTTGCTGTACGGGACCCCATTGCGTGGAGGCCTGTTGAACCCAAATAATTGATCCGTTCTTCTATAGGCAGACATCTGGGCGCTGTCCACTTTGTTGGCGCTGTCCACATCGTTAGTGCTGCCATGAGCATTGTCCCCTTGTCTTCGGTGAGGGTAGAGATTTCCATTGGTCATCCCAGAGGATAAACTTGTTCATCGTTGGGGACATTGTTTGGACTTGATATATTGTGCCCAACAGTTTTTTTGTTTTTTGTTTTTTGTTTTTTTTAGAAAGATTTTGGTTTTTTTGGCCAGTTTACTGCCACCAGTAATGGATTTTAGCTGCTCCACTTTCTCATTAGTATTTGGCATTTCTAGCTTATTCTTGTGAGTGTGGGTCATGTGGCTTGATGGTTGATTTTTCATCCCCCAGTTTTACTGAGGCTGGATGCCTTTCCAAGTGCTCATTGGTATCTGTGTTGTGTGTGTGAAGTCCTGTTCAGGTATTTTTGTAAGTTTTCTTTTATGTTGTCTGTCTTGTTCATACTTAATTGTAGGATATAGTTATATATTCTATATAGAAGTTTTTGGATGAATACATGAGTTTCAGATATCTTCTTTCATTCTATGGATTGCTTTCCACCTTCTCGATGGTAAACAGGAGTTGTTATTTTTAGTACAATCTACTGAATCATTGTTTTCCCTTTTGATTATTGTTAGATAAATATTTGCCCAATTCTTGATGATGATGACAGTCTCCTTTTTTCTGAAATCTTTAGCACTTCACTTTTCACCCTTGGCTCTACAAGGTTGTTTGATTTCTTGCCATATTGCACTGTTGGGATCTCTGGGAACTATTGACTAGAAGTCAGGACAGTGACATCCTTGCCTCACTTCCAAGCTCACAAGTCAGAAGTTCAGCATTTTATTATTATGTGTGATGTTTTAAATTTTCTGAGATACCCTTTTTAAAAACAATTTAAGGCTGGCCAGATAGCTCAGTGGATTAAGGCACCTGCTTAGGTAGATGCAGGGACTGGGGTTCGATCCCTGGTGTGTCATGCCAGCTCCACCCCTGGGGTACACCGAGGATGCCCATTTCATGAAATTCACTTTTGATCCAGCAGAACGCTAGTTTCAGAACATTAGTCTGAACTTCATGATAGCGCCCTGGTCTGCTTCTTCGAACCTTTTCCCGTGAACACTGTGCTCGTTTTGTCCTCGTCAGCCTTCCCGAGTAAGACAGATCTACCTGTGCTCGATGTTTACCAGGCAGACAGATTGAGTGGCTTTCCTTGTTTTGGGTCACTGTTGCCGGGTTGGCGTCCACCGCTGAGCATATAGTTTTCCAGTTTCCAGTGTGGAAATTTTGCTGGCAGGACTGTCTAGTTCCTTCTATGGGTTGCACCAGTGGAGCACACGAATCCTGCACTCCTGGATGCCCAGTTGCCCCTCCACGCGTGCTGCGCCTCGTGGAGCCCCACGCGGTTCAGTGGACACAGCCACTGCCAATCTTTACCTTTGCTGCTTTTTCTCCTCCTATCCTTCAACTCAAAATGGACAGTTTCTCCACTGCTTGGACGAATAGGCTTTGTGTGTCTACACGCCCATTATCCTGTCTTCCTTGAAACGGGATGTTCTTATCTCCCCTGTGAAAATGAGGAAATGCAGAGACGGAGAGCAGAATAACCTACCCAGGTCTGCAGAGGTAGGGTCGTCCCGCAGTGGTACACTCTAAGCCCTGGCTGTCACAGGCTGCCAAAAGAGATGGACGTGGTCGTCAGGGGAGACCTATGCCCTACTGCGCAGAAAGCACTGGCACGGCTGTGCAGCCCTTCTGTGGGTCCAGCCCCACAGGTTCCGAGCAGGGCCGGACAGTGGGGTGGGGCAGATCTGCACACGGGCTTGTCTCCTTGGTGAAAGTGTGGGGGGTGTTTCCTGCCCTGACCCTGGCTCCTGGGGACAAAGGCCCCTGCGGCCTGCATCAGAGGCCAGCCTTCTGCTGTGGCTTTTTAAAAAATCTTTTTCGGTCTTCAAGACATTGGGGAGTTAAATTCCAAGATCGTGTTTTCTTTGCCTCTGTACCCCCAGCACGGAGCCCTGTGTCAGGCACATAATGGGCGCCTATTTAATGTCTCCTGCAAACCTAGGCTGGGAGCGGAGCCACTCCCAGACAGTCGCAGCAACCTTAGGTCACCGTTCTTCACACATCTTCCTAATCAGAGAAAAAAGTGGTCACACAAAATCTTCAAACACCCAGTGCCCCCAGCTGCAGGCTGCTGCTGCTGCTGCTGCAGAGCTGGTGTGTCTGGGTGCTCACTCCCAACACAGCTGTTGCCACCGGCACAACCGCTAGAACCTGCTGCCCAGATGTGGGGTCCCGACTGGCGAGTGTGAGCACGGGGTGCCTCCTTGTTTGCCGCTGCCAGTGGGGTGCCAGGTAATCTTCCCAGCTTTTCTGTCCTGACAGCCCTTAGGGTAATCTTGTGCAAGGGATTTTTCAGGGCCATTTTGGTGCATTTAAAAATCAGAGTCCCTGTTAAACAGTCACTCTGGAGAGGGGACCTCCCGCCTCGCCACACGAGAGCTCCGCGTCTCCCGGCCCGGCAGCCTGGAAAACTGTAAGGGTTTGCACAATCTGCGAGACTGAGATGTGGCAAGTGGTGCCGTCCGTGCTGCCTCGACTTCCGAGCTGCCAGGAGGGGCGTCTTCGCCTGTGCTGTGTGCTTGCCCCCACTCTGGCTGGGTTCGCATCTTGTGCTTCACATGTGCCTCGCCACCAGGGCATGCAGTTTTGTTCGCTTGCCCTGGTGAACTTTGGCTCGGGCCTGTTGTTTGCCTTTTGGCTTTATGAGATTTTCACCTCCCTGCTTCTTACAGTTTCACAGAATCAAATCTGTCGTCTTTGCTCTCTGGCTCTGTGCAATCTCTCCCTCGGAAAGGTCTTTCGGAGTCGAAGGTCACAGAGGAATCGAGCAGCCCCTTCTCCTCACATTAGAGCAGTCTGGCACACAATGAGCCTAGATTTAATATTTTTCTTAAATAAATTGAAAAATACAATTTTTAGGATTTTCCTTTTCTTTTTACACTTTATATTTTTATTAGCACATAACTTGTCATGCAGATTATTTTATGATTTCATGTTTTGTCCTTAAAACTTGGAGCCTCTGGTGATTTCTTTTGGCACCAGAAGTGATTTTGAATGATGAGCTGTTGGTCTAGGTGTCCTGGGGTCACTAATCTTCTCATCACTTAAGACCACAAGGCAGAAGTCCCCTCACTTAGGCTAACTCTGCCTGGAGCCCCTTTTCTGCGTGGTCCCCGCTTGGCAAGTACGTGGGAGTGTGGTGGCCTTCTGGTGGGGGCAGTAACGAGCGCGGTAGCATTTGTGGTGTGACGCTGGCCCGGCAGGCGCAGCTTTCCTGCCCTCAGGCCTGGTACAGTGAGCACTCGGTCAGGATCAGCTGCAGCTGCCTCTTCCCAGAGGTTGTGTGTGTTTGGGGGGACAGTGCGGCAGGAAGGGACAAGACAGAGGCCCCACAACCCCAGGGTCCCTTCTGCACTGTCTGCCATGGGCCATAGACAGCGTGTGCATGCGCAAGCGTGTTTGTGTGTGTGTGTGTGTGTGTGTGTGTGTGTGTGCTTGTGTCCACTGCGGTTCCATAGCTATGAGCGCCTGGGGAATCCGGCCACCAGAGCTTGCCCTGCTGAGGGACAGAAGGATTTCTTATGGTTCCCAGTGGCCTGGTGCTTGGTGGGGACAGAGACCTGAGTCTGGGTGCAAATAAGAGCAGGAACTTTTGGGGCACCAGGCAGAAGGGCCCGAGGCCTCAGTCAGGGGCACCAGGCAGAAGAGCCCAAGGCCTCAGTCGAGCTACCTAGGCAGGGTTAAAGCTCGGAAAGGGGTTTTGGAAGAGGAGCATAACAGATCCCTACGGAGGTGGCAGTGCCCAGGCCCCGGGCAATGCCAAGTACATGCCACGTGACATCCTGTCCAAAGCTTACATCAGGAAAGCTGATGATGTCTAGGGTGAAGGAAGGGGGGACGCTGAGCTTGTGTGGCTTCCTGTGCAAGCTGGGTGGCATTCGTGCCCAGGTGCAGGCAGAGGCTCCCAAGGCCCGGAGGCTACCAGGAGCACCCATGTGGGCACTGTGAGCTCGAGTACTAGGGGCCAGAGGCTGTGAACACGGCCAGGCCCGGGCTCAGGCACTCAGGTGCCAACTCCCGACCGCCCTCCTCCCACAGGCCCAGCTGGTCCCTGTACTGCCGGTACTCCGACACCCTGGCGCGGTGGCTGGACGGCTGCAAGCTGTAGCTGCTGAGCACCTCACCCGCTCACTGGTGGATCTGGGCCTCGGGTGGGCTGTGTTCAGAGCTGCTGTCATCTTGCCGCGTGACAGCTCCCGGTGGGGAGCAGCAGAAGCGTGCTTCTCCAGCGACGCAGGATGCATAATAAACTGTGCTGGCTCCTCAGCCTGGGCCCCTCGACTTTGTTAGTGCGGAGAGGGTCACTGCTGCTGCGGCTGCCGCTGTGACTTCACACACCTCCTCTTATGTAGAGGACTTGAGGGAAAGGCAGTGTCGAGGCCCCAAGGCCAGTGTCAGCCGCGGACAGGGGAGGCAGGAGTCACAGGAGGGAGACCGAGGCAAGGCGCCTCCTGTCCCAGGGGACCCACAGATGCGGGGACAAGGACATAAAATCCTCCTTGTACTTCCGTGGACAGGATCAAGTGATGGTTGCTCTCCTCTTATGAAAGATTCAGTTTCCAAAACTTATAAATAACACATGCTCAGAAGGCTTTAGAAAATACAGAAATGTTCCAAATGAGAACAGCCTTCCCCTACTTTAGGGCCAGTCAGAGTCGTGTCCCTGCTGCCCTCGCTCCTTGTTTTTGCTCTCCGGGTTTCAGGGCCTGGCTTTTTGAAAAGAACACAGTTGCAGTAACAAACCTGCACCCTGCTCACATTTCTGTTTCAAGCAGAGACAGGTTCACTCGGGAGCTTAGTGGCTGCAGGTGCCAAGCAGGGCACAAGCGGCAGGTCAGGCTGCCTGCGAGGGCTGCCCCGGAGCAGCTGGGCCTCAGAGCCAGGCCACCTCCTCAAACACAGACCGGGTAAAAGCAGAGAATTGGACAGTGGTGTGCAGAAAGGCATTCCCACGCTGTCCCCTCCGGGAGCAGACGTTTCCACACCGAGAGGCCCGGGCTTGGGTGTGAGTCCAACCTGGCCCGCGTCTCTGTTGCTCTGGGCTGAGTATGTGCTCTCATCCTCCTTTAAGCTGGCCTGCTACTAAGCACACAGGTTTCCTATCTTGCCTCTTCATTCACATTCTGTGGTCTAATAGCTCCCCAGCACCACTTTTTAAAATTTTTATTTATTTATTTATTTGGTACAGGGTCTCACTACCCAGCTCCGACTCATAGCGATCCTCCTGCGTCAGCCTCCCCAGCTCTGGGATTGCAGGTGTGCACCACCACACCCAGGGTCAGTGGCCCACATGGCATATGGTACCAGGGATGGAACCCGGTCTTTGCTCTTGCCAGGCAAGTGCTTAGACTGCTGAGCCATCTCCCCACCCACCAGCACCACTCTTAACCCTGGAAGGTATCCCACCGCACAGGCAAACTCTGATGCCCACCCCGAGTTACTCTTTTTGATCTGGGGTGAACCCGTGAGGTGAGAAGCGGCACCGCACGGGAGACAGGACCCAGGCTAATCTGCCTGCTCCTCATGGGCATTTTGCTCCCTTTCAGAAATGACAAGAGGTGACAGGCAGAGCCTCGGGGCGGAGCTTTGACTCAGGTTCTCTGAGGCTCTACGGGCTTCCACAGCTTTGCACGGCTTTCCTTCCTCTATAGAGGGCAGAGTGTTTGGCGCGTCCCAAGCACGTAGCCTGAGTGACACGGCCAAGTTCTGCACGCTGTGTACTTGCTGGGGCTGGGGGGATTGTCAATGAGAAGCTTTTGAAACTATTAGCATAGTTTTATTTTTGGCTGTACAAGGAATTGAACCTGGGGCCTTTGCCCTGAGCTATATTCCCAGTCTTTAAAAAGATTTTATTTCAGGAGAGGGTTTTGCTAAGTCTCTGTTGCCCAGCGGTGCTCTAGCTTGCAGTCCTCCTGCGTCAGCCTCCCAGAGTGCTGGGATCACAGGTGTGCACACGTGCCCGGCAGAGAGCAGCTCTTTTATTGGGCCTGGAGCCTTGCCACATCCGAGAGTGGGCCCGAGGGTGGTGACACACCCTGCCTCAGCCCAGCCGTGACCCAGACACCAGGACAACCTGTGACTGGCTGACGCTCTCTCCCCTCAAGAGCCAAGTGCTGCGTGCTTCCACCACCTTCCTGCTACCGGCTGCGGATGGTCGCTCCTGTCAACATGGGCGTGAGGCTCGAGGACAAGCCAAATGTTAGCTAATCGATCGCTCAGCCTCTCCGGGTTCCCTGTGCCGAGCCCTGGGCTGGTGCTCTGCTGATGGGCCTGGCAGTGGGCGGTCATTCCGGACCAGCTCTCTGTCCTTGTCTGCTTTACGGGTGAGCCAGGCTAGATTGGGAAACTGCATGAACAGGGCTCCTGTCCTTATTCTGTTACCAGTGGCCACTGTATTAGTTCCAGTTTAACAAATATTGCAAGAGACCTTTACACGCTATATGCCCAAACCTTACAAGAGAGATGTGAGTGACACCCAGGTCCCTGGGGAGCAGGGACTGAGCCTTGGACACACAAATCACTCGGCTCTTCTGCAGTCTGGAAAGCTGTTACGCTGGGGTGGGATCTGCCTCCTGTTACTCCAGGCCTTGGGCTAGACCTGTCTTAGCTCCTCATTCCATCCTCTGGCTGGTAAGTCGGGTCTCCAGCTCTTTAACTAGGATGCTGCCGGGAAGAGGTACTGAGCAAGAGGTTCAGGCAACGGGCCTTGTCATTGTGCTGGGTCCCAGGGTTGGGGACCTGGGAGGACTTTCTGCAGCAACTCTGGAAGTCCTCTTTCATAAGTGTCTTCCCCAGGAGAGATAAAAAGTAATAGCGATGCTTCTGCAGATGCCCTGCAACAGAGAGGCGGCTTGTGAAAGCAGGGCACTGTGTCCTCACCCAGCTTGGTCACTGGAGCTGGCGCTATGCGACCTGGCTCTTCCCCAAACTCAAATGACCATGAAAAGTCATGTTCTGAATGGATTTAGGAGGCAGCCAGGACAGTGCAACGAAGGCCCTTGGGAAGAGCAGAGCTGTTGCGAAGGCGGCGAGGAGGCTGGGCGTGCATGCCAGAAGCCAGGACCGGGTGTGCAGGCACCTCCCAGCATCGTGCCCAGCGCTGTGATCCACTGTTAATGTTTATACCTTCGCCATGTGCTGGATCAGGGACCCCAGGAACCATGCTGCCACCTCCCGTGAGGGCCTCCTGCAGGCTTCTGGATTCACTGCTGGTGAAGTGCCAGCACAGCTAAGACAGTGAAATCCAGCCCGGCTGGGGTTTACCCGGGAGCCAAGGGGCTCAGGAAGCTACGGCTGCTGCCAGGAGGCCCAGAGCCCGCGGGGAATCTGCCAACCCCCAGAGGTGGCGTGGCGGGGGAGACGGCTGGCCGCGCAGGGCACAGGCTGCGGCACGACATGGCTGCTGCCGGAGACAAGGCTGTTACTGCCCGGCCCCTCAGGGAGCGAGTGTAGCACAGCACCGGACTCTGCATCCAGATGCTTTCTGGCCCTGAGAGGACGGAGGCAGGTGCCACAGGCGAGGGACAGACAGGCGTTGCTATGAGGCAGCCCCACTGCATCAGCCTTTGGGAGCAAGGGCTCACATGGGTGGACAAGCTGATGGCGGCTCCGCAGGTGCTGGCAAAGCTCCTGTCTGGTCCCCTGGTCACCCCTTCTCCCGCACTGAGGGCTTGAAGTGTGCAGGTCCACCGGTGCCCCAAGCTGGGGGAAGCCCACTCCAGAATGAACCTCGGGCCTGCTGTGGAGCTGGGGTGAATCAGCAGCCAGATCGGCATCTGGGCTGCTTCCACCTGGCTGCAATCCTGAGTCTGAACATGAGTGTGTGAGTGTGAGCACATGTGTGCGCGATCATGAGCCCAGGTGCAAGTGTAAGCACAAGTGTGCATGAGCCCAGGTGGGAGTGTGAGCATGTGTGTGCGTGAGCATGAACCCAGGTGCGAGTGTAAGCACAAGTGTGCATGAGCCCAGGTGTGAGTGTGAGCACAAGTGCACATGAGCCCAGGTATGAGTGTGAGCATGTGTGTGTGTGATCATGAACCCAGGTGCAAGTGTAAGCACAAGTGTGCATGAGGCCAGGTGCGAGTGTGAGCATGTGTGTGCGTGAGCATGAACCCAGGTGCGAGTGTAAGCACAAGTGCGCATGAGCCCAGGTATGAGTGTGAGGACACATGTGTGTAAGCATACGTCCAGGTGTGAGTGTGAGCACAAGTATGTGTGCACATAAGCCCGATGGTGAGTGTGCGTGTGTGTGAGCATGAGCCTGGGTGTGAGTGTGAACATGAGCCTGGGTGTGAGTGTGAGCATGCGTGTGTGTGAGATAAGCCCGGGTGTGAGTGTGAGCACAAGTGTGCATGAACGTGAATGTGAGCACACAGGATCATTCTTCCTATAGCTCTGTTCCTTCTGCTATTCAATGCTATTTGAACTTTGGGGTGCACTGGGGTACACGCTGGTGTGCGTGGTCACGGCGAGTGGTGGCCACATGTGATGTGGAGTCTGGCCCTGGGGCCGGGGAAGTGGCTCCGTGCTGCCCAGTGCGCGCCCAGGTCCTCGAGGGACATGTGTGCTCCAATGCGCATCTGCTGCCGCGGGCTCCTGTGCGCATGCCAGCCCTCACGGTGGGTTCATCAAGAGCCGCGCCGTGAGCGCGCTTGTCTGCCTTCCACCGTGGCACACGCAGCAGGCATCCTCACCAGACGCAGCCCCGAGCTTGGAATTGCCAGGCTAAGCAGGAGCCAAAGGAGTACCCGTTCATTAGCGATCTCGCCTCGGGCGTTCTTCTGAAGAGCAGCTGTCGGATGGGATGACTACACAGGCAGGTGTCAGTGACACGGGGGCTGCCGTTCACAGGTAGAGACAGGCTCCCAGGGGCTTAGTGACCAAGTCCACTCAGCAGGGAGGTGGCAGGTGGGCCCTGAGACCTGACTTTCTGTGGTCCCCACCCCAGGGTCCCCTGGACACTCAGGGCAGCACCGTCTCCGCCCTGGTAGGCAGAGGCCCTCCTAGGAGAGGTCTGACCTAATTAAGCCAATCTGTTAAGCATGCACTTGTTTTCAGTGAAAAGTACTTATGTGAGTACATTTTAATTGTTTTGTGCATTAAATTTTTATCAAGTAATATAAACTCATAATGATCTGT